TAGTCAATCTATAAGTCAATCTATCAGTCCATCCATTAACGAGCTAGTCTATCTGCCAAAGCCCATGGTTAGGATTAGGGGAAACAACATACCAAGTTACCAGGCATTAGTAGGGATTAACTGATAAGGATTAGGTTAGTATTAAGGCTCAAGTTACGCCACTGCCTATCGTGTATTATATAAGTCTACCAAGGCCTATTTAGATTTAAAATCGATTTTTAGTATCGACGACTTTAGTACACATGTATTGATTTTTCCATTTGTAAGTTATGTGGTTTGAAAACATGAGCTATTCACAAAAAGTGCTGGAGGATAATTAAACTCTTCACTTTATTTTTAGAAATTTAATTAGAGTTGGCTGAATAGAGGGGAGACAACTTGTAAATATTTTTAAATAAAATTATGGTGTTTGTCTCTTAGTTCGTATGCACTGTTGAGTTGGGTAAGTGGATTTCACTTGTTGTCATTTGTAAGGGACAACTCTGATTGAATAGTGTTTAGAGTTAACGCCCTTTGGTTGTTTACACTGCTATAGGCCTACTCATAACTGTTTGAAGCTTGATGACGTAAGTAGGTAGAATATAATAAGGGATCAAGCTAGTAAACAATTTTTTTTGAAACTAGGTGTTGCCCATAAACATTGATTGTATTTGACTGCTGTTTGCGGCTGAACAAAAAATATTGATTTAACTTGTAGTCGCCTATAAACGTCTCCTATTTTTTCCCCTACCCCGTTTATCCACCCTACGCATTTGGTGGTCATCCATAAATGACGTCTCGCATTTATGAAGATTTTCACCTGCCCCCTCCCTCCGTCACACATTGTCACAAAAAGACAGACCTCCACCCCCCCCCCCCCCCTAAATGACGTCACATCTTAGCCTACAACCCTACCCCTCAAAATTGCAGTTAAATTGTGCATAAAACATCGATATCATTCCGAAATCTTGTATGAACTCTGTCTACGTAAAGTTTTTTAAATCAATTCCTATTACAATTTATTAAAACCGTTAACTCAATCGCTAAATCACGAACAAAACTCGTTTTCTAACATTGCTTTTTATAATGCAAAAGTGTGACGTCACACCATCTGACCCCCCCCCCCCTCCCCATCATCACACACCGTCATAAAATTACGGACCACCCCCTCCCCCCTACGAGTGTGACGTCATTTATGGACGACCCCTTTCCCTTACCGTCACACTTTGTCACGAAAAATAAGACTCATCAATACCACCCCCCTCCACCCAGGAACAGACATCAAACTTCTTCACACAAAGCCAAACCCTCATCAATTACCCCGCTTCCACCACCCCCACACACATTTCTCGTTACACTACATCCAAGTGCTCTTTGACATTAAAAAACTGGAAGGGGGGGGGGGGATATAAAAATAAGGGAGGTAACTAAAATAATTTTATACAGTTCTATAAATTATTTAATGACGTCTTTTATATTTTATATTTTACTATTAAATATACACAAGTACGTTTAGTAAAATATTTGTTTCCAAAAAGTTGCAAAATATTGGTTTTTTTTTTAAATGTTAATTTATTTTTAGGATAAATACAAAATGCAAAAATCTTGACGCAAGTTTAACATAGCTAAATTGATATGAATCGCACTTTATATTATAACAATGCGTCTGCATGTCATCCACTGTCAATGTGAAAATAATAATTATTAATTTTTACCTCTCTCCATTATTCTAACGCAGGGGTCGGCAACCTTTGGAGACCAAAAAGCCAAAAGTTACAATTTATAAAATTTTCCAGTTTTTAAAGAGCCGCCAAATTTTCACCCCCCCCCCCCCTTCAAGCTTTCGATTTGCACCCCTCCCTCAAACTTTCGATTTGCACCCCCACCCCCCCCCCCCCCCCCACCCCCCTCAAGTTTTTCTCTATATATTTTGGCGGCTATGTAAGTACTCGGCATCCGTTAATCGGGCGTTCTGCATAGCGGGTAAGGGGTACTACTATATTCAGCGGCAAAACTGCAACAGGCGCAACCACCGGCGCCTCGTCGATTGCACGACCCGAAGCGCCCCGGGCTCACCTGCGAGCACTATGGCGCCTAAGTTCAATTTTAGGGGTCGGCGTGGACGAGTCGGTAAAGCTCATGGTTGCTAAACCGAAAAGTCTCGAGTTCGATCCCTCGGGCAGATGAGGCTCGTTAGCTGGGGACAGTCACTCTTCTAGGAGAGACAACTCCAAAATAAAACAACTGCTGCCTTGTAGCTTGTTCTTGGTTGGACAAAGGCTATGGAAGCAAATCCAAAAGGAAAAGCAGACTGAAATCGGAGTCAATGGCCTCAATGGCGCATAACCAGTTGACACGTATCCTTAATTGTGATGGAGGCGTGGTCGAGTCGGCTAAAGCTATGGTTAATAAATTCGAAAAAGTCTCGAGTTCGAACCCTTTGGCAGATAAAGCTCGATCCCTTCCAACACTAAACATTAAGAACGAAGAAGAAGAAGAAGATGAGTTCAATTTTAAAAATAGCTATACACTATAGACACGCGTTGCTTTAGTCGCTCACTAAATCGAATCAGGCTTCTTTGCAGGGTGCGATTTGGCGCCCAGGGCTATCCTGCGAGCACCAAGCGCCTACCTTAGTTTTAAGGAACACCCTACATTACTACATTCGATGATTAAACCGAGCTAGGGATCGTACGCAGCGCACCTGCAGAAGTGTAATCGGGTTCACTAGAGCGCCACATTCCGTCATCTACAAATATAGGCGGTGAGTGATTAACGGAGATATTACGGTGAGTGATTAACGGAGATATTACGGTGAGTGATTAACTTACACTCAAAGCTTTCATACAGCACACCATGGTGGAGGCGGTAGTGTAGGTAGCCAGTGCCCCGATAAATATGATCCAAACACAGGCATTGTTTAAACTTAAATAACTCAGCTTTAGTAAACAAGGAAGTACATTGAAATAGGGAGTAAATAATATTCAAATAGAATAGCGAGTGTTTTATTGTTTATATGTATTATTATATCGATCATCTCCGAGTGTTGCAAACTAATACTTTTATGCGTTTTAAAAATAAAATAAAATAAAAATTAATATTTGTGCATCGAGCTGAAGAGCCGCACCTTGACACCAAAAGAGCCGCATGCGGCTCGCGAGCCGCAGGTTGCCGACCCCTGTTCTAACGAAAACATAATTTTACTTATCAATTTCATAACTTACCTTTCCTCAACGCAATATTTATATTAATATAATATTAATATTAATATAGTGGACACTGGTTGAAGTACTTATTCTCAACATAATTATTGTCGTGGGTGGGGGTGGGGTATGGAGTAAGGCGGTATACGTATTGTGGACGGCAGTGGCTACCCTACCCGCTCCCCCTCCCAACCTATAAGAAGTAAAAGAAATTGCTGCTTATCGACCAAGAGTCAGTTCTGCAGTTAAGAAAAGGTCAGTGCCCTGTCTGGGCCCAGAATGCAGGTGTCTTTAAACTGCTGTGGTCTGCAAAAGTTTAGGAAAGTTTTCCTTATCTCGACTGTCAAAGATAAGTTTTAAGATTACGACAGCCTGGATTAACCTGGGATTTAAGTTTGTTTCCTGGATTTTAACTTGGCAGGTCAGGGGATTTAGAGCCGCGTGTTGTATATCCTAGGGTGGTGTGGTCAATGGCTGGTGTAGATGTGGTATGGTGTGTGGTATAGATGATGTGTGGGGTACAGATGAGTTGTGAGGAACAGGTGTAGTGTGGTACAGGTGTGGCGTGGGGCACAATTATGGTTCAGTTGTGGTAGAGGTGTGTGACACATTGTGGTGTCTGGTACTTGTCGTAAGTGGTTAAGTTACTATGTGTCGTAGTGGTGGTAGTTTGTCCATTTGTGTTGTGTTACCGGTAGCTCCCAAGAGCCCCGTGACTCCCCTGACACCTGGGCAGTCGTCGAGGTACTTACAGCATGCCTTGACGTGTCTAGTTGGTAGTGTGGACAAACCCGCGCCCTAGCCTAATATCCAAGAAATGAACTGCCGACATTGTTAACATTGAATTCAACGTCTGGAAAACAGGGCACACGGTTGGTAACGTTTTGATGAAAGCCTCATAAAAATCGGCGTCAGTTTGGTGTGTTGGACTAGATTTAGAGAGTCTGTGCTTCTCACTACGAAAACTGAATGGGGCCAGCTAGTGTGTTGGAAAGCCTCTGATTTATTCGTGTACCAGATGGAAATTTTTACAAAAATGTAGATTTAGAGCGACTCTTGTTTATATATATATATATATATATATATATATATATATATATATATATATATATATATATATATATATATATATATATATATATATATATATATATATATATATATATATGTATATATATATATATATATATATATATATATATATATATATATATATATATATATATATATATATATATATATAGGGACCCCCAAAAAAATTCTGCGGGGGGGGGGGGGGGGGGTTCTAGTTCCGCCACTGCGCAACTCATAAAAATTTCAGACTACTTGCCTAGAATTAAAAACAATGTATAAGATTTGAGGGCAGTACTTTTTTATACGTGCATTTAATGGGAAAACTACATCTGTTCGTTAACAAAAATTCAAGAACGATACATCAACCGAAAAAAGTTTTTGCAAATCTGTGATATAATGTAGCTCCATCTTATCACTTCCTTTACGTATTCGGTTATGTTACACTGTTCCAATACTATAATTACAAATCGGTATAGTATGTTTTCAAAAAATATTTTATTACATCAATTATTTAATACATTTTACACGATGCAATCAAACTAAACTAAGCACAGAAGATTTGGTTTAAATAGCTGTTTGGAATTTGATGTTAAAGCAGTTTAGTAGTAAATTATACATTTTAAAAACTAGAAGTCTTTGCTGTTTAGGATTAGATGGAGGAAAATTAGGATTAGCTATCCAGGCAGTAAATAGTTAAGCATTGTATTGTAGGCAGTTTAGGATTAGATATCCGGCAGTAAACAGTTTAGCAATACATATGGCAGGAAGTTTAGGATTAAATATCTTACAGTATAACATTAGATGGCAGTAAGTTTAGGATAAATATCTTACAGTATAACATTAGATGGCAGAAAGTTTAGGATAAATATCCAGGCAGTTTAGCATTATATGGTAGGAAGTTTAGGATACGTTGTCTTAGGAATGGCATGCGGATTTCAGGATTTGAGCTCTAAATCTTTAAATTGTGTTTTCGGTGTTTCGGTCCTTTGGCTTCTTCAACCACTCGTCCATTTCTTGCACGGTTTGAGGAAGTTCATGGCCGTTGGTCTCTGGTAAAAACTGGATCACGACTGGAACCAGCAGACACAGCAGGCTGAAGACGGCACCCGGTCCCCAGGCCACGTGACGTTCCTGCAGGTGCCAGACAGGTAAACATGTATCACAGGTGTAATGTGCTATGCAGGTGTTAAACAGCCAGGTGTTTATCACAGGTGTAATGTGCTAAAGTAAGTGCTTACTGCATAGGTAAAGTGTTTGAGTAAGTATAAAACAGGCAGGTGTTCATGACAGGTACATCACCGTTGAGTAAGGTTTAAAATGGAAGGTGTCTAATACAAGCTCTTTAAGTTTTTATTTTAGGTGTTTAAGACACCATTAATTTTTATTTGAAAAGTATAGCATTATAGTTTTATTTACTAGGGTTTTACTTTCATTTCACCCCCCCCCCCCCCCCCCCCGTCAATTTCTCGCCCTCCAACGTTTTGTGATCGTAGACACTAGCCGAAAGTTTCAAGTGCCCATTCCTCCCCGAAGAAAAAATCTGAAAGAAACACTGCCTCTTGGATACCCTACCCTACATTCCCACACAACGACAAGGTGTGAGTACCGTTTGTATGTACTTACAAAAGTCCTGGAGTACGGCGCCACCATACCCCCCACTCTTGCCGCCAGTGAAGAAATACCGAAGCCCGTGTTCCTTGAGGGTTAAAAAAAAACATAAAATATAAACATCTAATGAGATCAATACCTACATTTCTCTTAAGTTACCTTTCAAATAATGCACTTTATTTTATATTATAAATTTAAAGTAGGCCTACATCTTTTTGATTTTTAAACAGTTTAGTACAGTTCACGTCCTATGTATATTATTTTTACTGTCTATAACTTGTGAGGTAACTAACACTATCTGTTTTATTACTAACGTCCTATGTGTCTATATTGATGTCAAATTCCCGTTAACCAGTCATGAGTTAACGCTGTTTATAACTGGGCCCTATTTATAACCAGGTCATATTTATTCGTAGGCACTGTTTAGAGCTAGGCTCTATTTATAAATGTGTAATTATTTTGGATCAGCTTTGAAGATCTAAACTTTTTATGGTAGGGTTAGATCTATCTTAGGTATGATTGCTTAGGACTAGATTTTAGATTAGTAAGATCAAGGTCAGCCTAGATAAACAATGTCAGGGTCAAATTAGATTTGTGTCTATGTCACCTTGGATTAGTAGAGTCGAACTCACCTACAATAAAAAGGTCAGGGCTTTCGTAGATTAGTAGGGTCAAGGTCAGATTAATGGTGTCGGGGCACATTATATTTATAGGGTCAAGGTCACAGTTGATTAATATGATCAAGGTCACCTTTGATTACTAGGGTCAGGGTCAGATTCGTGGTGCAGGGGGTCATATTATATTTATAGAGTTAAGGTCACATTAGATATGTAGTGTCAAGGTCACCATAGTTTAGTAGGGTTATATTATATTTATAGGGGCAAGGTCACCTTAGGTTAGTGGGGTCAGGGTAAGATTAGCGGTGCCGCGGTCATATTATATTTATAGGGTCAAGGTCACCTTAGGTTAGTGGGGTCAGGGTCAGATTAGTGGTGCCGGGGGCACATTATATATTTATAGGGTCAAGGTCACCTTAGGTTAGTGGGGTACAGTTCCGGTGAGTACAGGTACATGGTGGAGAAGCCCGTGGTGATGCCGAACTTGCCGATGAGAGAAATGGTCAGCTGGATCCAGTACAGGCCGGGGATGGAGTCTGGGGGGTGGAAATAAAATCACAGGGAAAATAAGTTTTTTTGCTAGTAGAAATGAGAGTTAGTACTCAACTGGCTTGGGACGGTGTGGTAAGATGGTAGAGCGCTAACCTGCTATCTTGAAAGTTTTTAGTTTAGATCTCGGATCTGATTATGTGTGGATTACCCTGTTCTGATGGGTACTTGTACGTTAAGAAAGTTAGTTGCAAGGGCATAGTGCTGATCACACCATCCTTTTATATACAATGCTAAAAATATATTGAACTCTACTTCATCTACCCTTTGGATCGTCAAGTCCTAAAGTTGAGCTTTACTTTTGCTTTCCTAACTGGATTAGGTAAGGGTTAGGTTTATGGTTAGAGGAGCTCGTTAAACTAGACCAGTACCTGTTCCTGAGACGTGAGACAAGTTTATTTTTTTACCTACGGGTTAGGTTTATGTTAAACTCGTCAAGTACTTGTTCTTGAGACGTAGGACGACAAGTTTATTTTATCTGCGGGTTAGGTTTATGGTTAGAGGAGCTAGTTAAACCAGACCTGTACCCGTTCATGAGACGTGAGACTAGTCTATTTTACCTATAAGTTAGACTTATGGTTACATGAGCTAATTAATAGAGCTAGTACCTGTTCCTGAGACTAGTTTATTGTACCTACACGTTAGGCTTATGGTTACATTAGCTAGGTTAAGTTAATAGAGCCAGTACCTGTTCCTGAGACTAGTTTATTGTACCTACACGTTAGGCTTATGGTTACATTAGCTAGGTTAAGTTAATAGAGCCAGTACCTGTTCCTGAGACTAGTTTATTGTACCTACACGTTAGGCTTATGGCTACATGAGCTAGGTTAAGTTAATAGAACCAGTACCTGTTCCAGGGATGTAAGACAACAGCACCACTGCCATTAAAGAGAAAGCCGCCAGAAGATGAGAGTAGCTGGCACAACGCTTCCTGCCCAGCCTAAGATAGGAAGACGTGGGTTATCTGCTGGTGCTTAATGTACTCAACTTATGGGTTATCTGGTGGTGCTGAATGTACCGTATGGGTTATCTGGCGGTGCTGAATGTACCGTATGGGTTATCTGGTGATGCTTAATGTACTCAACCTATGCCTACATCTTCTTTAATCTGACTAAATTACATTTCATTTAATATAATTAGCCTTGCCCACAGGCGATTGCACATAGCGACTTTACACCTAAAAGAACATACATTCACTCTCCAGTTCACGTAAGCATTCTTACACTTACGCATCCTTACATACTATTACATAACACACTCTTACACGTACATATTCCTACACTTATATACGCTTAAACTTACACATTCTTTAATATAATTGCAACTTATATTTACATACCCTTACACTTACACATTGACCAGGAAGGCGAAGGCGAATGGCAGCCCTACACTCCCTACACTTACACGCCCTTACACCTACACTCGCTTACATCTATACTCCATTACATTCACACGTCTATACATGTACACACCCTTACACAAACACATTCTTACACTTACACCTCCAGACCCTTACACACCCTTACACTTACACACCCTTACACTTACACACCCTTACACATACACACCATTACACATATACACCCTTACAGTTACACACCCTTACACTTACACACCCTTACACATACACACCATTACACATATACACCCTTACACTTACACATTGACCAGGAAGCTAAAGGCGAAAGCTGCAGGCAGCCCTTACACCTACACACCCTTACACTTACATTGCATTTTAATTAAACTCCCTTACACTTACACACCCTTACACTTACACATTGACCAGGAAACTAAAGGCGAAGGCTGCAGGTAGCTCCACCAGAACACTGAGCAGGAAACCCAGGTACAGATCGTCTGCCAGGGACGATGACGTCATCAACAGACCGTAGTAAACCGCGCTGTCTGCGAACCTGTAACAATACCACACAATTTATCCAATCACAATCGAGAGATTTCCACTATGGACGACACTTTGTTATATTTTTTAAAACATTTATTTATTTATTATAAACATTTAAAATAATAATAATATATTTATAATAATAATCTATTTGATGGTTTTACACAAAGACATGAACATCAGTTGTATATATAGTAATTAAATGGAGAAAACAAAATGGCATAAGAACTAGACTAAAATAAGGTGTGCAAACTCCGTTTCTCTTGACTGCTTAGTTTACTGTGATACATTGTCATATAATCAAGAACGAAGACATAGACATTAATTAAAAAAGCCTACAAAGACATACAATTAGGCCGTTTGTGTGTCGTATATATCTAATGACAAAGTCGATTTTGTTTTTCCTGAAATGGATGAAAGTCCCGTATGAAATATTTGTGTGTGATGAATAAACCTATAAGAGTAGAAGAAGTAGAGTTTATTTGTGATTGTTTTTCCGACAGTCATTGCATGAAATATGTAGCCTACTTACGGGTATTAAAGTAAGGGCACAAATCGATTTTTAGAATACAACTTTTCCAAGAGGCTGTTAGCCTCCCCTTCCATTAACTATGGGAGGCTTAAATGTATGCAAGTAGGGTAACTCTTACGAAATCTCGTAGAAGGGAAAAGTGTTTGTGTATGCAGCAGGAGAGATAACTCTAACCAAATGTAGCATAATTTAGAATTATTATCAAATGTAGTAGGAGGCCGTAACTCCTACCGTATATAGCATGGAGTGGTCTTTGCAAATATTTCAGAGTGTGTTACCTCTTACTTAATGTCCAGGGAGTAGTAATTCTCGCATTAATTATCAGGGGAGGGTAACTCTATCTAAATATATCAGGGGGTGGTAGCTCTTACTTATTGTATCAGGGTGTAGTAATTCTTGTATAAACTATCCGGGGAGGGTAACTCTATCTAATTGTAACTGGGGGCAGATAACTCTTACTTAATGTATCAGGGGGTGATAACTCTTACCAAATATAACAGGAAATGACGGTCACCATGAGCACGTTCCTGTTTTTGACGAAGGCCAGAAACCTCATCTCTTTCTTCTGATTGGTTGTTTCACTACCGGAAGTGGTCATATTGGTAGGGCAATCATCGCATTTTAGTGCTTTAGTATCTTGCGTCTATTTGAAAACATTTAAACATTTTAACATACTGAGACACACAGACTCGAAACTATCACAAAAGTTAATAAACCGAGAGTGATCTCCCCTAAACTTTCTCGAATATTCTTATATAAAATAACAGGGGATGGGAACTCGGGCTATAGACATGATTTTAAATCCATTTTAAATACTTAAAGTTTTAAAAATAGAAAAAAAATCTCGTAGACAAAAGAATTGCACACCAAGTGAACGCCAAATAAAAAGGGCATAATAGTGTGCAATATTATTAGTACTTTAAAAATTTATATTAGTTTTTTGAGAAATCGGAAGTAGCGTAAATTACTACTTCCGGTGAACGGAAATTACTCAAAATTTAACAGAAGGTAGAGAATTAGATCTTTTACTTACATGTGAAATTTCATGTGAAATCTAATCTAAAATAGTACTCAAGTTATAGGCTTTTGAAAAATTCAAAGTAGGAAAAGTACCACTTCCGGTTATCGGAAATCGCTTAAAAGTTGATACGGATCTACGATTTTGATAAAATACTTATATATGAAATTTCATCAACCTAGCTTTAACGGTACTCAAGTTATCATGTTTACACAGGGACACACAAACAGACAGACAGACAGACAGACAGACAGACAGACACACAGACATACGAACAAGATTGCAAAATTATGTTTTTCCGTATCAGTGAGGTGTAAAACGTCGAGATTTGTAAAAATTCTCGATTTTTTTTTTTTGCACGATTACAAGACTTTCTCTATACTTCGTATATACGAGAAAGTAAAAATAATGTTAAACATTTTCCAACAGTAACTCGTTAATGAATATCTCCTGTACCTGTTTATAAGCGTAAACACTATATTGCTAAAAGGCGTAGCTAAAATACAGTAAAAGAGGAACGTAAGTCATACAATTCGTTTTCTATATCTCTCTATATTTATGCCATTTAATGACTTCGACTTAAGCAGATCTAGCCTCCGGATTTGTTTTGGAGGGGTCAGAGGCGTAGCAACCCATGTCGGCGAATGTGGCGTACTTTCCTTTTTGCTCACCATTCTTATATTTAGTTATTCAAGTTAGCAAAAAAGCGGCCGCCAGCACAGAATGATATTTGAAAGAAATTGTGTATACCCCTTAGGGTCGGCCGCCCCACCCAACTTCCCCTAGCTACGCCTCTGTGAGGGGTAGGGCTAAATATAATTAAAGGTATAAACTGTCACCGTACTGACATTTGGATGTTATACAGGTGCCATCAAGCTAACAAAGATGTGTCGCATTACTGTTATATGTGCTTAACTGACATCATCATCATCGTCATCATCATCATCATCCCTCTTTTGTGGCCCCTGGGGAGCAAAGGGCTGCAACCACACATCTCCAGCGGACTCGGTTTTGGGCTGCTCCTCTAATCTGTGCCCATGAGAGCCCAGCTGTTTTCGCCTCTTCCTCAACCGTTCTCTTCCATGTTTTCCTTGGCCGGCCCACCCTCCTTTTCCCCTGGGAATTCCAGTCCAATGCATGTTTTGCGATGTTTTCTTTTTCTTTTCTTAACGTGTGTCCGATCCATCCCCATTTACGGGCCTTGATATCAGCATAACTGACATACTGTTTACATTTTACTATGGTATAGTTAAAAGTTAAGAAAAAAAAAATCAACAAATCACCTCTGAGGAAAACTTGGTGTCTGAACAGTCAAATGACGTCATCGAGGTACCAGCGGTTAGAATGGCCAGCGTCTTCGTCACATCCGCCCTGTTGACCTTGGCGGCCTTGACCAGGATGGCCTTGGCCCGAGAGAATTTGTTGTTGGCCAGCAGCCACCTGAGGGTCTCGTCTGTTACCCTGGGAGGGGGAGGTGTTGGGGGGTAGGGTGTGGGGAGGTGGGAGGTGTTGGGGGTAGGGTGAAGGGGGGGGGGGAGGTGAGAGCCAATAAGAAAATCCAAATCCACATTATAGTTGAACATTGGTGTAAAGTTCCCCTTCCAAACATGATAATCTATAAGGCAAGTGAAGTAGAGTTAATCTGTTTCTGTGATCTCGACATATCAAGGGATAGTGTAGGCAGCAATATACACAGCATTCTTAAGTTTCCCTAACGTGGGTTTGGAACCCCTACTCAGGTACTGTCTACTGACTTGAACCCGGATTTGAACTCGAGATTTACGTGTTAGCAGTTTAGCTCCTTACCGCTAGGCCACTCCGTCCCCTGAACATCAGTGTAGTGTACCAAAATCGGAATTCAGCGCTATTTTACAAATTATTGTGCAGCCTATAGTTTGAATTAGGCTTACAGTTTTAAATAAGCTTCACTCACTGTTTACAATACAAGTATTCACACGTGAACTTGTATTTTTGTTTGGACGTATATCATTATCAAACGTACCAAATCCCCTTCCACAGATTCAACCTCAATAGACTTACTCCCTATATTAAATGAAACATACTTATCCTAATAACTTAACCCTAGACATAAACTAACGTAAATATATCACACACACACACGTACCTCCTACACGTACCTACATTTGTTATACTTTTGTAACACACACTTAAAATATCCACACAATACTCACGCACTTATACAACAGACTAACCCCCTCCCACACACATAAATAAACACACACTTGTATTCGACACTTTCCACACCACCAAACGAACCCTAACACACATACGTATATAGGACATACATCATGATCATCTTTTCCCTTCCGTGCTCAAGACACATGGGTAGATGAAGTAGAGTTAATCTGTTTCAGTGACCTCATGATATGAATGGATAGTGTGGTCAGAACTATGCCCTGTCGCTTTTACTTTCCTTAAGGTTAGTTAGGTACCCATCAGAGCTGGGTGGACTCAGGGACGTTCTACAGCATCGAACCCAGATTCGAACCCCAGATTTTCCGGTTAGCAGTCTAGCGGTCTAGGCCACGCGCCCCCATACCGGACATACCTACCACCACTGAATCAGCACCGGAAGTGACGAAACAGCCAACAGCAGCTCCGCGTATCTCCAGCTGACGTCTTTAGTGACGTAGGCACACAAACACAGCATGAGCAGGGCCACGGCCCACAGGTAGCTGCAGAACTGGGAGGGTAGGGCTCGGTGTCTGATAGGCATCAGTTCCATCAGCACCACGTTGGCGATCAGCACGGTGCCCTAGGGCAGAGGGCAGAATTATATGAGCACGGTGCTATAGGGCAGAGGGCAGAATTATATGAGCACGGTGCTATAGGGCAGAGGGCAGAATTATATGAGCACGGTGCTATAGGGCAGAGGGCAGAATTATATCAGCACAGTGCTATGGGGCAGAAGTCAGAAATATGTCAGCACGGTGCCCTAAGGCAGAGGGCAGAAAGATATGAGCACCCTTCTATGGGGCAAAGGACAGAAAGATAACAGCAAGGTGTTATAGGGCAGAGGGCAGAAATATATCAGCACTGTGAAATAGGGTAGAGAGCACAAAGATATCAGCACGGTGCTTGGGGCAGAGGGCAGAAAGATATCAGCACGATGCCATAGGGCAGAGGGCAGTCGGTTTCACCACGGTGCCCTAAGGAAGTGGGTGGGAAAATATCAACACGGTGCCCTTCTTCAAATGCTAGGAAAATATGAGCATCTATCTATATATATAATTCTCCTCTGGGAGCCGCTAGAAAACAAGCTGTAAACGCGCTCCCTACCTCCCCACCCCTACATGGTCTTAGTGAGCTTTGTTCACTCTAAATGTTTACAAGCAGAGCCAACGATTTTAAACGTAGGGGGGGAGAGGGGGGGGGGGAGGAAGGGAGGGGGGGGGGGTTATGGTCCTTAACGAGCTACTTATAGTGTTTTAAAGAAATATTTTCAGTGGCAGCGTTGGTACTGTCGACTTCACAAATTATGAATTACTGAAAAGTAGAAAATAAAACAACTGAATAGCGGCGTATGTTATGCCGCGGGCCGGCTCGTATATATGATTCTCTTCTGTGAGACGTTAGAAAACAAGCTGCAAGCGCGCCTTGCAGTCCCCTCTCTCCCTCTCTATCACTACCGCCCCCACCCCCCTCATGGTCTGGTGAGCTGTGGTTCACTCTAAATGTTTACAATCGGGTTTAGTGAAGGCTATTAGGGGCAGATAATTTAGTTTGAAACGTTTTTAAACTTAGAGGAGGTAACTAAGAGGAGGCTGCTTTCACGGGGGGGGGGGGGGGGGGTGGGGGGGGGGGGGGTGGGGGGGTATAGGGTAGGGGTTGGGGGAAAGGGGGGGGGTAGTGTTTTAAAGCAAATATTTTCAGTGGCAGCATTGGTACTGTTGAATTCACAAATTATGAATAACTGAAAATTAGAAAATAAAACAACTAAATAGCGGCGTATGATACGCCGCGGGTCGGCTCGTGTAAAATAAACCCGACAATGTTATATTGGCGATTAAAAAAAGCCTTAACTTTAGCATCATCAAGATTTAATTCCTTTTATTTGCTCTACACATATTATACCGTCTACAAACTACAGCTAAATTACATTTCAAATCTGCACCATTTAGTATGATTAGTAAGCCTCAACATACCCTTTAACTTTTCTGTTCTGGCTCTTATGTGTTACCACCCCCTCCCACAGTGATATCTAACGTGAGTTATTAGGACCCAGTATCTCAAGGAACCACGTAGGCTACAACTCCAGAATGCAGTGTTCCTAGAAAAACATATTTGCATTCGGAAAATAGGCAAATACAAACTAATTATACTAATACACTTAATGTTTGTACATGCAGTCATTCTTTGCTAATGTCTATAAATGCTCGATTTAACAAAACAAAAACGCCCTTGCGCACATTTTTGTGCTTGGTTTTCATTTGCGCAGTTCTCCGTTGCGTAGTTCTCCGTTGCGCATCTTCCCGGTCACCAGAATGCCAGATGTACACGAAAAAATAGAGCTATAAATAGAAAAAGCGTTAACTGACCTGTTCTACAGCTCCCAGAAAGAAACGTAGCGCCACAAAGACGAGAAAGTTTGGGGAGAACGCGATGCCAATAGCCACAGACAGCAGTAGGAGGTGGGTCAGCATGAACATGGGTTTCCTTCCAAACCTGAGGAGAGGAACGGTAGTAAGACATGATAAACCAACGGGGGGGGGGGGGGGGGGGGGGGAACGGTAGTAAGACATGATAAACCAAGGGGGAGGGGGAACGGTAGTAAGACATGATAAACCAAAGCTTTATGATAACAAAGGTTTTACATGCACGAAACATAAATAAAAGCAATGAAAAGTGTACAGCACTGGTTAATTTCTTTAGATATAATGTTGTAGTTCTTGTTCTTCTTCGTTCTTAATATTTAATGTTGGATGCGATCCCCTCCGCACAATTAAGTATACGTGTCAACTGTTAACGCGCCATTGAGGCCATTGACTCCGATTTCAGCCTGCTTTTCTTTTAGGATTCGCTTCCATAACCTTTGTCCAACCAAGAACAATCTATTAGGCAGCAGTTGCTTGATTTTGGAGTTGTCTCTCCTAGAAAAGTGGCTGTCCCCAGCTAACGAGCAACGGAGCTTTACCGACTTTACTCGACCACGCCGACCCCTCAATGTTGTAGTGAAGGAGATTCAATGGAAACGTGAAGCAGTTGACGTTCCTGTGACCTCGGCACATGAAGGGATAATGTGGTCAGCATTTCATTTTAGACGTTTTTATGCTCCGCAGTTATACTAGGGTCCTTACTAGGGTCCCCACGTAGGAATATGCTATAAGAGGTCATCCATAAATGACGTCACGCTGTTTGGAAGATTTTTACCTCTCCCCTCCGTTACGCATCGTCACAAAAAGCCAGACCCCTAAAATGATGTCACACCTCAGCTTACAATCCCCCCCCCCCCCTCAAAATTGCAGTTCAAGTTTTATTAAAATACGATATTTTTCCAAAATCTTTTCTGAACTCTGTCAACATAGATTATTTTCATCAATTCCTATTACAATTTATGAAAACAGTTTTCTAAAACGCGAAATAACGGCTAAAATTCGTTTTCTAACATTGCATTTTTATACTGCAAAAGAGTGACGTCACGCCACCTGAACCCCCCCCCCCCACCTCCCCCACTTCACATACAGTTACAAAATTACGAACCCTCCTCCTCCCTACGTGTGTGATGTCATTTATGGACGACCCCTAAATATGTGAGATATGAGGAGTATCTATGATATGAGGAGTATCTATGATATGACAAGTATCTATGATATGACAAGTATCTATGATATGACAAGTATCTATGATATGACAAGTATCTATGATATGACAAGTATCTATGATATGAGGAGTATCTATGATATGAGGAGTATCTATGATATGAGGAGTATCTATTATATGAGGAGTATCTATTATATGAGGAGTATCTATGATATGAGAAGTATCTATGATATGAGAAGTATCTATGATATGAGAAGTATCTATGATATGAGGAGTATCTATGATATGAGAAGTATCTATGATATGAGAAGTATCTATGATATGAGGAGTATCTATGATATGAGAAGTATCTATGATATGACAAGTATCTATGATATGAGAAGTATCTATGATATGAGGAGTATCTATGATATGAGAAGTATCTATGATATGACAAGTATCTATGATATGAGAAGTATCTACTCACACGTCAGCAAGGCCAGTCAAGAAGAGGGCACCAAACATCTGACCACAGGACAGCACCGTCTGGGAGACGTCTGACAGAGATTCGCCATCACACACCAGGTCCCACTGGGGAAAACAAATTATCCGGTCAGCAGAATATAGGTAAAGTAGCCGTCGGTACCCGTTACACAGAAGGTCCCACTGGGGAAAAACAAATTATCCGGTCAGCAGAATATAGGTAAAGTAGCCGTCGTACCCGTTACACACCAGGTCCCACTGGGGAAAACAAATTATCCGGTCAGCAGAATAAAGGTAAAGTAGCCGTCGGTACCCGTTACACACCAGGTCCCACTGGGGAAACACAAATTATCCGGTCAGCAGAATATAGGTAAACTAGCCGTCGGTACCCATTACACACCAGGTCCCACTGGGGAAAAACAAGTTATCCGGTCAGCAGAATATAGGTAAACTAGCCGTCGGTACCCGTTACACACCAGGTCCCACTGGGGAAAAACAAGTTATCCGGTCAGCAGAATATAGGTAAACTAGCCGTCGGTACCCATTACACACCAGGTCCCACTGGGGAAAAACAAGTTATCCGGTCAGCAGAATATAGGTAAACTAGCCGTCGGTACCCATTACACACCAGGTCCCACTGGGGAAAAACAAGTTATCCGGTCAGCAGAATATAGGTAAACTAGCCGTCGGTACCCATTACACACCAGGTCCCACTGGGGAAAAACAAGTTATCCGGTCAGCAGAATATAGGTAAACTAGCCGTCGGTACCCATTACATGTGAATTATAGGCCTATATATTTCCTTATACGCTCAACATAATTAAGCCATTTTTTTAAATTTTAAAATATATTAACAGGAAAATAATCAACAGAATATAGATCTAAGTAAACTAGCCGTCGGTAACAGTTACATGTGAATTATAGGCCTATATATTTCCTTATACGCTCAACATAATTAAGATATTTTTATTTTTATTTTAAAATATTTTAACAGGAAAATAGTCAGCAGAATATAGGTAAACTAGCCGTCGGTACCTATTACATGTGAATTATAGGCCTATATATTTCCTTATCCGGTCAATTTAATTAAAACATTATTATTTTTTTTTTAATTTAAAATATCTTAACAGGAAAATAGTCAGCAGAATATTGGTAAATATTTTAAAGTTCTTTAGCCAACAATAGTGAAGTAACTGCGAGGCTTGTACAAGTATCTGACTTTAATAACTACTAATCCGGGTACTCATTAAAGCTGAAAAGACTCTGCACTGCCGACAGACAAATTAAGCACAATGAGCGGTAAAACATGTTCTTTTTTATTAATTTTTTTTACACCTATTTTAAAACTATTTTGTACACATTTTAAAGGAATTTTTCTTTTATCCAAAAGTTTTCTTCGTTTATTTCTTTCTGCGTGTAGTCAACGAACGGGGGACATTAAAAGTTTAAATTCCTGACGCTGTTACGTCCCTTCAATAATTAAAACTGAGGACTAAAAGCGTTCTATTATTAACCCCTTAATATGACATTTCTGAGAATCTCGTATTTTTTAGGATTATTACGGCACCAGAGCTATCTCCTTACCAAATATCAACTTTTTATCGCAACTGCAAGTGGTCGACCTAATTCAAGAATTTAAAAGAATTTATAGTTTATATAAGACCGCGGTCACTCTAGGTCAGATTTCGGTCACTTTAAACTCGATTCTTGAAATGACTCTAATTTTCCATTTAAAAAGAAAGCAAAAAGCAAACTTTGTCAAGAGAAATTCCCTGTAGCTTACCTGTAAGTACCCGAACTAATAGGTGATAGTAACAAACAAACTAAATATCACCCACTTTGCTTTTATAGATATAGAGAAACGCGATTTCGTAAGTCTAGCTAGATCAAACGACGGTATAATACAAACATATGGGGTTAGTGATCCAAAAATAATTAAAATGAATGAGTATGTATTACTTATTACACCTTATGCTAGGCTATAAATTAATACAAAGGGAGTGAATCTACAATCGATTCGCATATTTAGCATTGTTAATATATTATAAAACAAAAAAAAAGTGAATTTACATTTTGTTAAGACAAATGGTGTATAAAAATAAAACGTATATTAAAGTATTAAAAATATCTTGATTCGTTTATTAAAAAAATGTTTTTTTTTTGTGATAAAAAACATGAAACACAGTAAAGTTATATTACACTTCTTTTGAAGACTATTGATCCATTAGTTAGAAATGTGTTGCGTATTTGACTAAATTGTTGGCAAAATTATGCTGTTAAAGATGTGAGATTTTCATAGAAGAGGGGTTTTCTTTAGCTACTCTCACAGCTGACGAACTAAAAAGAGAGCTATGTATGTTATGTAGCCTATCACCAGCTGAATTTGAAGGTCTGTATAACTATGGGACACTGCGTAAATGGTATGTCACCATTAGATCAAAGGAATTATATGAGAAAATGCACCTAAAAGAATTTCACAGAGATTTGCCACCTGGAGTAACATCCAGATACAGAGTGCAGAGAATATCAATAACCCACGCCGATAAATCTGGGCAAAGGGGCATGCTGAAATGGCTGCCTTCCAAGACAAGTGACGATGATATAATGGCGATTCTGAAATCTATAAGCAGTCAGGACTCAACACCAACATTTAAGAGAATAGACCAATCAAATGTGGTTCAATTCACCATCTCTCTGGAGAAAGAAGATGTGGAGAGTGTCCCACACTATATTATACTTACAAATGAGGCCAACAAGGAGAGCAGAGTCCTTATAATCCTCAATGGGAGGAGGATGCAATGTTGCCACTGCAACACAGACAGGCACCTGCCTAAAATGTGTAAGCATTTGAGGACTCGCGCTCTTGACGGCGTCCAGCTAGTAGATGGACAGTACAGGGCAATTGAGCCTTGGGATGCAAATGATAAAGAAGAAGTTAGGGAGCATCTAAGTAACAATAGAAATTTCTTAAAGCATTGGGACAGTTATGATGTTGACGGAGAAAGACAAAATGAAATGCTTAGAGAAGCAAGGCACAGAGAGGTACAAGATGCCTTTGAAGTAGATGGCCAAACTGAAGCACATCATACTACTGTAGCACCGCAGCAAGTTAACGAAAGCGAAACAGAAACCACCATAGAGGCCGAAGCCATGGAGACAATAGCAACCAGGAATTCCATAGTAACCGGGTCTCAAAAAGATGGGAATCACGAAAATTTGGAGGCTGTCGACGAAACAACTAATATTCTTCAAGATAACTCTAGTTTAGAAAACATAACGAAACCGCTAAAGGAAATTAAAAGCTCACAAAGTATATCGGCAACAAAGGTATCAGGTCAACTGTCATATAGTCAAGCAATCAGTTCAAGTAAAAATCAATTACCTACAGTAAAGCCACCTCAAAGGTTCGTGACCAGGGCCCAACGGGATAGCAAACCAACGGCTGGAAGGTTTGGAATTAAAAGACCACCACCATCCAGCCCTCCAGAAACAGATGTTCGAAAGAAAAACCCAAATAATTCATGCTAAATCTGGCAACATTGAACATCAGGGGGGCTAGGAACAAAACACATTATATAAACAACAGAATAAATAATCACAATATTGACATCCTACTTTTACAGGAAACTAAAATTGGAACTACAGAAGAAGCAAATAAACTAGATGCATAATTAATATCGACAGTCTCAAGCTATACATCGCTCGATCGGCCCCCAAGTAATTTAACATTAGAACAGTCTTCTGTTTCCCAGGTTTTTAAAAGTGCACAACCTGAATGGTAGAAAGAGATACACACCTCACCCCCCCCCCCCCCCACACACACTTCCCTCCACTCAGCCGGACTGGCGGATTTTTCAGGGTGGCGTGCCCTCTTTGCCAGGGGTCAATTTTGTGTCATGGAAAGTTTTGGAATGATAGATCAGTAATGTGTATTACAGAGACACTTCTCCCACGGTGGTTTCTATTTCTGTCTACAATGTGAACTTTTGACTCCTCAGCTAAGGACCGAGCACAGTAAACTAAGCAGTCAGGAGAGGCCTAGTTTGCACACCTTATTTTAGTCTAGTTCTTATGCCATTTTATTTTCTCCATTTGATTATTATATATGCAATTGATGTTCATGTCTTTGATGCTGTGTAAAATCTATCAAATAAATTATTATTACAGAAAAAAAAAAAAAAAAATGGACCTGCAGCACACTAAACTAAGCAGTAAAGAGAAACCTAGTTTGCACACCTTATTTTAATCTAGTTCTTATGCCATTTTATTTTTTTCCCTTTGATTACTATATATGCAATTGATGTTCATTGTTCATGTCTTTGATGCTATGTAAAATCTATCAAATATATTATTATTACTGATTTAAATGTTTAAAACAATTGAATAAATAAAAAATAAAAAAAAATCTACCCCCTCCTCTCTCCCCCTCTATCCACTTTACCCCCAGACATGATAACCCCACAATCTCTTTAACTGTTCCAACGACCCCACCACCCACCGCAACATCAATATCCAGAACTTATTAAAAGTTCTAAATCTTGTCTCTTTCCCCTCATCTTTCACACTGCAACCTTTTGAAAACTCAATGCGACCACTACAACACCCTTTCAACTAGTCAACTTAAGTTGTTTCCTTACATAGAAAATGCTTCACTGTCCCATTGACCCTCTCTGAAAAATTTCCTTTCCTCTCCCCACCCAGACTTCTGACACTTTCATTTGACCTTCACCCCTTTTACTGTCATCCTTTGCAATTTTTTTTTATAATCAAATACATGACATCATGTAAATATTCATTATGTACATTTGCAAACCTTTCGTTGTCATTTGGTGTTCAAAATTACGTTAAAAAATTTGATGTTGATGTACTTGTTTTAATTGCAAATAAAAGACTCGAATATAAAAAAAAAAAAAAAAAAAAAAAAAAAAAAAAAAAAAAAATAAAGATTTGTATAAAAATATATGAAGACAAAAAACCCACCTAAAATTGAAAATTAGATTTTTAATCTTTACTCTCTTTAATTCGGCCTGTTCAACTATTACTAGATCTAGATCTAGTCTAGATCAAACTAGATCTAGACTCAAGCAAGACCAGTACCAGTAGTTTAGCAGACTATATTTTCTGCTTGTTATTGCCCCATCTACCCAACAGAACAGCGTAACTATTTAAAAAAAAAATTTAACACTATGCCAGGAACAGAATATGTTGCTCAGGTCACAGATGTTTATATAAAGTGGAAAGTCAGTATGGCAGTTAGCAGTAATGATGTTAGAAGCTTAAATGAACCAATGGTAACAATGATGTTGGTGACCACTGAAGAAAGTGGAAACACAGTCAACAGACCAGTGGAAATGACCTTAACAAAATTCATTGAATTATTGAGTACAATGAAACAAATACAGAATCAGATGGAATTGGCCAAACTTGTATGACAGCTACTACATTTAGTCATGTTATATATATATATATATATATATATATATATATATATATATATATATATATATATATATATATATATATATATATATATATATATATATATATATATATATATATATATATATATATATATATATAAATATATATATTGGATACTGCCATTTAAATAATATGGAAGAGCCATATGAAAAGCACATAATGTTCAAATACAAAATACATTGTCTTTATCGGAGTGTATTCCCAACTGCAACATTTCAATTAAAGAATGTTAGTGTAAAGTGGCGCTTTGAAACCCACCTTGTTTAAAATATTTATAAATTGTTGTACAGATATTTCACACTCATAGATTTATAAGCCTACTTTTGTAAGCTGTTACTGTCAATTATGTTGTGTATTGTTGCTATTTGTTTAGTTTTCCTAAGTTAATACGCTCAAAAGAAAAAAAAATTTTTTTGCATTTTGGTCAGTATGTTTTGACGACCAGTAAATATTATCATTTTACTGCAGCGATTCAAGTGTTTAATTAATGATTTTCATTTGATTTGTAATAATTTGAGTTTAGCAGCAATAGCTCACAAGTTATGCATATTTATATAATATCTGAATTTTCAATTGTAAACTCACCATTTTTTTTTAAAGAGATAATTGTACTTTTGAGTTATAAAACAAAGAAATCTCAGTTTCTTAAATAATTTACAAAGCTAATAAATGACGTAACTGCATTACTTGTTGCTGAGTACAAGTAGTTGTTCCAATAAGATTTCCAGACATTTAAATGGGATATTGTTTTTCTATTAATAGATTCAGCTATACAGAGGTTATTGAAGCTGTTTTTTGTGTGAAATTAATGTCCAGCTTTATTTAAACTATAGACTTGGAGGACATTTTTCAAAGATTGTTCCTATTATTAGGTTAAAACTTTTACTCAACATTCTGTTTGAAACTTAATAACAAATCTTTTCATTTATAATTAGTGTTTAAATTTATTTTTAAAATCTGTATTCAGATATCAAGAATGAAGCTGATAATAATGTTGACAAGAAGCTTGCATTCTTTGATATCTTCTTGAGGGCATTAGAAGAAACAGCAAATTAAGTCATGATATGTTTTTGTACCACATATTCTCTTCACTAATCATCACCTAGATCTGCATGTACAAGATGTTAATCTTTCATTTTGGAAATGTATTATTTAATTTATTAATCAATTTTGCTACCTTAAAAAAACAAAAACAAACAAAAAAAAACAGCGGCTGTCAGCTGTCCATATACGCTATACTCCACCTATTTTCATTGTTTTATATTTTGTTTAATTTTTTTTTAACTGAATGTTATTTTTTTAGTTTTGAAAATAAAATAATACGAGCCGACCCGCGGCGTATCATACGCCGGCGTATCATACGCCGCTATTTAGTTCTTTTATTTTCAACTTTTCAGTAATTCATAATTTGTGAATTCGATAGTACCACTGCTGTCACTGAAAATATTTGCTTTAAAACAGTATCAGTAAGTCGTTAAGGACGATACCCCCCTCCTTTCCCCCAGCCCCTAACCCCCCCCCCCCCCCTTGAAAGCAGCCTCCTCTTAGCTACCTCCCCTAAGTTTAACATCGTTTCAAACTAAATTATCTGCCCCTAATAGTCGTCACTAAACCCGGCTCTATGATTGTAAACATTTAGCGTGAACCACAGCTCACCAGACTTCCTAGAGAGGAAGAGAGGGGGCTGCAAGGCGCGATTACAGCTTGTTTTATAATTTCTCCAAGAAGAGAATTATATATATATATATAGATAGATAATTATAATGGAACTGGAGAGCCTCATGTTGCCGACCCCTGCTTTAGACCTGTCTAAGGATGACTATTTTAATCTTTTCAACAACACGACGAAAGTCACTATCAATAGCCGTGTGGAGTGGTAGGTTCGGAACCCGTCGGGTCTGTCTGTTCTGTCTTTACTTGGACTATATTCTGTACCTTTGTCTACCCTTGGCGTTGAAATATCACTTTATGTTTATATTGCTATCAATAGCAGAGGTCTACCAAACCTTGGGGGCCACGTCATTAGGCAGCTAATTAGCGAAAAGCCCATTCCTCTACTCAACTACGGAAGAGCCAACGCAATGTTTTTCAGCTTCGATGTTACCACTTTGCACAAGACTTCGAAGACCTACGGATCATACACTCTTAGTTTCGTAGCAAACGACAAGAACCTAACGAATATGAGTAGAAAATTTAACTCAAACAACACTTTAAAATCCAAATAAGACTTGAAAAGCAAACAATACGCCCATTCAGAGTTTAATTTTTACCCCAAACGATAATTGCATGTGTTCCTTTCACAACCTTGTATTCCACTAACCACTATTACTATTATCTTATTTATGCCGAGTACCCATTAAAACTGAGTTGGCTCAGAAACCTCGCGAATCATTACCACACGCAATGTTTAACACAACTAAATTTGATATTTTTTATTTGAAGACACGACTAAGTTACCTGTGAGACAAAAGATCGATCCGACGGTTCGTCGTATTCGTAGCGTCCATGGCAACCTTCGCTATGGACGACGGATGTTCCGTTCATGAGGTCAATACTGCAGGCGCCATATTGGATGGACGTGTTGAATGTACTACTCATGGTGGTAAAAATCTCGGGGAATCCCGCGTCGTCTCGCGTGAGTTCATTCGAGATGTTGGCACAACGGTGTGTCACTGGTCGACCTGGTAGAGTTGACAGCACACTCAGGTCATTAGGTCATGTGATAAGGTCAAGGGGTCAGGTCAGGTTATTAGGTCATGTCATTAGGCATGCCATTATGTCATTTCGTTGGTTCAATAAAATATAATGATGTTTTAAAAGTATATTAAACATTAAAACCCTCATCCCAGTAGTATTGTTTTACAGTTTTAAAAACCGTGAAAAAAAAAAAACAATTTCACTAAAGGACACAAAACTGAACTACAGAGTTGGACCTTCAGAATGTTCTTTTGCATGTAAATAATCTGAAATAGGTCTAAGCAACGACAGCCGTACAGCATGCCGCAAAAACAAAAGCTTTACTTAGCATTAAAAACGGGTAGCTTTGTATCAAAAGCAATTCAAAAGTAAAGACGTAGATGTCCAAATACTAAGGGAAACAAACAGGGATTTATTTTTTAGAAGAAAAAAAACATTAAAAAAAACATCAAATGGTTACCTCCCATGAAAATAAAAATGAATAAAATCTACATTACTACGAAATGGTGGACTAAAATGTTGCAATAGAAACCAGAAGGTTATCCATATGCCATAGACATGCATACGAAGCACATTACACGTGTTGTTGATATGTAACATACGTTCAAATAAATTGCTAAAAAATTCTGGAGACCAAAATTGGATTGGATAATTAAACTACCTGTAGAGCAGACTTAATGGGACACTCATAAAATACAATAGCAGCAAATGGCTTAATACCTGTAGTTGAACACAATTAGATTAATCTTCGACCTGTGTTAACCACATACTTACCACCTTAAGATTACCGACCTATAAAGACCATCAACAGACCACAAACACACATACAAAAGACAACCAACATACACACTAAAAACCATTAAAAGACCACCAACCTATAAATACCACTAAAAGATCATCGACAGACCACCAAAATACAACCGACCTTTATATACCACCAACCTCTAGACCACCAACAGACCACCAATACACCACCAAGAGACCACCAACTTTTATATACCACCAACCACTATACAACACACCACCAACAGAACACCAACCTATAAAGACCACCAACACACCACCGACCTTTATATACCACCAACCTCTAAACACCACCAACACACCACCATAGACCACCAACATACGACCTACCTATAAAGACCACCGACAGACCACTAACACACCACCAACATACCACCGACCTCTAAACATCACCAAAAGACCACCAACAGACCACCAACCTATAAAGACCACCGACAGACCACCAACAGACCACCAACCTATAAGGACCACCGACCATTGTATACCACCAACCTCTAAACACCATTAACACACCACCAACAGACGACCAACCTATAAAGACCACCGACAGACCACCAACACATCACCGACAGACCACCAACAGACCACCAACAGACCACCAACCTATAAAGACCACCGACATTGTGTGAAATGCCGATGAAATACAAGGCATCATGGCCAGGGCGAACTGTATCCTCTGGTACCGTCCTAGCCAGCCTAAGGACAGCAGGACATTGTCCAGCACCGTCCCCACGTGGTCATTCTCCGCCATCTTGTTCAGTCCTCACTTCCTGTTGACATTGATTTACTGCGGGATATTAATTAGCTAATTAATGTCATAAAGTTTTTAAAAAAAACTTATCTCTCTGGTATGGCAGTGTTGGAGTTGTGAAGATCGAGGAAGGAATTTTAATGTATAGAGTAATATGAGGTGGTGTCTAGTTAGAATGATGGCAGCAGAGTTTCTTCCAGTTTCTACCAGTGTCAGCTCGACCCCCCCCCCCTCCTTCAAAAATATCAAGTGCTCCTGGGAGAAAAAAGTCTGGAAGAAACACTGGGTGTCAATTGTAGTCTAGGGGTCGGCGTGGTCGAGTCGGTAAAGCTCGAGTCGATTGCTAAACCGAAAAGTCTGGAGTTCGAACCCTCGGGCTGATGAGGCTCGAAAGCTGGGGACAGCCACTCTTCTAGGAGTGACAACTCCAAAATCAAACAACTGCTGCCTTGTAGTTTGTTCTTGGTTGGACAAAGGCTATTGGAAGCAAATCCAAAAAGAAAAGCAGGCTAAAATCGGAGTCAACGGCCTCAATGGCGCATAACCAGTTGACACGTGTACTTAATTGTGCTGGAGGCAGAGGCGTATCCAGGTTTTCGTTGTAGGGGAAGTGAAAAGAGCAAAAATAGGCGCCGAATTTTTAACATGTTCTATATACGTGTATATCTATATATAAATAAATAAATATATATATATATATATATATATATATATATATATATATATATATATATATATATATATATATATATATATATATATATATATATATATATATATGTTACGGTCAAAGCCCAAAGTCGGCCAATGCGCGGATTGGCCGGCTAATGCGCGCATCGGCCAATATTGCCTCCGATAGGTCGGCCAAAGTCCGAAACTTTGCTTGAAATAGCTCTTGATTTTGGCCTTTGGCCGGCCAGTCCGCGGACTGGCCGTGGTGGACCGGCCAAAATCTTAATTAGAAGATCATCTGGCTAGGGACGACCGGCCAAAGTCCGAATTAGAAGATCATGAGCAGATTTTGGTTTTTTTTTACATTCGCAGCGATTTGTTGTGCTCCTCAGGTATCATGGACAATCAACATAATTCTTGATGATTGTGCAATTGCAGCGAGTGTAGCCTTGGTCCCCCGTCAATGATTGTGAAGATGCGATGGTTCGTAGTGATTTTTCCTCAGTGCCAACTGACGACAATAAGAGCAGCTTTTCGTGAAGAATTGAAAACTCACTTCTAGCCTACAGTTGTTTTAGAACACCATGTTCCGTTCCTAATTTGTAGAAACCGCCCTCGACGCTCATGACAACTGCAATCACGCTTCGGGGATCACCGCGACCTCTTTCAACATCTGGAACACGGATGCGTACATTGTCACCCACTTCACAATCTTTAAATTTTGTATTTGATGTTTTAAGCATCTTAGCACCTTGAGTTTGCAAGCCAGTATGAGCTGCTGATCTGTGTTCCATGATGTCTTGTTTGTTGTGACACAATCTGCAGGTAATGTTCCCTCTCGATTTTTTTTTTGCACGATAACAATAATTTCTCTATATTTCATATACGAGAAGGTAACAAAAAAGCTAATTACAGACAGTGCAAAGAAATCTGGAATGCAATTCTGTCGGTATTTATCATGCAGTCCAGTCAAGGCGCGGTGATGGGTCTGCTTTATTTGGTATTCCCCTTTTGTTGGGGAAATATGGTTTCTCTCGCCCACGCCATCTCAAGTCGCTTGGACACTATTGTTCAACTTACAAGGAGCGACTGTCTTTGATTTTGTTCTTTGATGATTGTCTCACCTCGTCATCATGGAGGAGGCTGTCACATACAGTTGTAGCCCATATATGGAAACTAACATGGATTTTCATTTTTTTTTCTTTTGACAGCCATCTCCTATGTCTGTCTCAGGGTCTGACGGCCCTTTTGATCCATGTCGCCTTGCATGTAGAATGCTATACAAACAAGAGCTAAACAATACGTTACTCACAATGAAACCGCACCCAGAATTATGAAAACGCGATCACAACTTAGTCTAGATAGGACATTGGCCAGGACATCCCGGCCAGTGCGCGCATTGGCCGGCCAATGTACAAAATACGCTGTCGAGTTTAAGCGTTTCGGACTTTGGCCAGTACGTCTCGGCCAGTGCGCGCATTGGCCGATCAATGTACGAAATACGCTCTTAGTGCTAGGTTCTTCGGGCTTTGGCCAAGAGAGTCGGCCAATGCGCATTGGCCGGCCAATCCGCGATTTGGCCGCACTTCGGGCTTTGACCGTAAATATATATATATATATATATATATATATATATATATATATATATATATATATATATATATATATATATATAATTACTAGCTGTATGTCATTACTTAGCTATGATGTAAAATAAATTGAAAGTAGCACTTTGAAGAAATAAGAAAAAAAAAACTCAATGTAGGCCGACAAAACAAAAATTGTATCAATCTAAACAAAACAAAAAAAATATAGAACTACACACACTACAACCAAAAACAATGAACGTAACAAAATCTGTTTTGTAATTCTTGTAAAAAAAATTCTTACATAATAATTCCTGGGAAATTATTTAAGACAAGTGAAATAGGGGAAATAATCACTCTCTTAATATAAATATGTATATATCTATACATTTAATTATAAATGTCAAAACAAAAAATAATTACTTTAGAATATAATTAAATTGTTTAACACTATTCGTGTTTAAAAAATGTTTTTGACTATAATCAGAATTTAGTATACCGTCATCATAAATGCTAAAATGTTACAGCATAATGAAAGTTTTAAAAATCAGAGTTGGTATAAAACCACGCTTTTCAATAAAATACAAAACACAGAATAACAGCCTACATTTAACTATGTATCGGTCTTTTAGTTCAGATCATATATTTTTAATTAACTACTGCTTCTTTGTGTTCTTTAAAGATCTTTTTTAAACATAGTGATAGGTATGGGTTAGATCACTGTATTAATCACACACCTTTTTACTGGTAATTGCAAAAACAATATTCACAGAGTTTTATGTTTCAAAGCTAATTTTCAGGCGGCATGTTACATTGGTACATCATTACGCTTTTTCTACATGTACTTAACATATCAGTTCGGGATGGGTTGGGGTGGGGGGTGGGTTCAACTTCATTCACCACTGTCCGGTCACTTTAGGTCAATTATTTAACCCAGTGTATACCTAGGTGTGACATTAATGTCGCTATACACAATTGTGGTGGTGAGGTGTATGTGGGGGGGGGGGGGGGGGAGATAACCAACTCAGAGTGAACATGGCGTCAGTTTTTAGGTGACTGTTCTAAACATACATATATATTACACAAATATATATTACACAAATATATATTACAGAAATAGATTTAAATAAGTAGCAGTGGTATTATGACAATAATTTTTTTAAAGAGGGGTCCATGGAGGAGGGGGGTTGTTACTTTTTCATATAATTTGTAATCGTAATCACTATCGCCCAAACTGTAAGAATACTACTACTTCATCGTGATGACGTTGTTGACCTTGTCAAAATTTCCCCACCACTACGCAGTTTGCTCATGAGTAAATTTAAATAGAGTTGCCACATCAGTTGTATTTGTTTCTGTATTGTAATATTTTTTTTAGATTAATCACACGATTCAAACTGTATATATAAAGTAATTATGTGTGAAGTTTTATGTATAACATTTTCTAATTAAATTATTCGTAAGCAAATACATTATACAGTTGCCTAAAACTTAACACCCCTCTTGCCAAGTGGTACTACCCGTAGAGGTTTTTTAAACATTACAATGCATCGTAATGGTTATTTTTAGAATGGCAAGCTGATGCAGCTGTTAATACGTGTTGTAAACTTAGACACTACTAGACTAGTACAATAATGCTTAATTGCTGCATAAACAGAAATCTTGTGATTTACATAGATGTGCCGACCAAAAATATTTTTTTAACAAATATCATTGTTTAAAACTTTGAGTTTTAAAAGTTTCCAAAAAGGCGCCACTTTGCTGAAAATGGCCAGAGGGGGAGCGGCTGCTCCCTCTGCTCCCCCCCCCCCCGCTGCGTACGCTACTGGCTGGAGGGGGATCCCTTCCAACACTAACATTAAGAATGAAGAAGAAGAAATAAGAAGTTGTTGTCTAGATGGTATATTATCAGTTGTCTAGAATAAAATGGCGTCAGTTCTTGTCTAAATAATGTCGTATCAATTTTTGTCTTGACATGAGTCTGTGAGTTGTCTAGACACCATGGAGTGTGTATTTGTTTAAATGTCTTATGGTGTCATATAGAATGAAAGATAGGCTTACCTTAGTACTGGTATGTAATATAGAATAAGTAAACAGTGGGCAACTTTGTCTATATATGACTATATGTCCTATGAACATAAAATGATGTCCATATTTTAGTTACAACTAGGTTTAAGTATTGTTAATTATTGTTATTTTTATAAGCTGTTATTATTATTATTATTATTATTATTATTATTATTTGTACAATTATGTTCGTATAGCTAATCAGTTAGAAACTTTCATACTAAAAGTGCATGTTTATTTTTCTACAACACATCACATCAACACTTTACCTGATTAATTACAATACTTACCTGTTGAATACCTGCTGTTTACCATAAATGGACCAGGTTTTGCTAACACGCGGTCAACTTTACCTTTAACAATGTGTTTCTGATAAACACACGTCTAGACGTATTCAAATAGGTAGTTCTCAAACTATATCATTGAGGTCACAATTTGTCACGTGGTCACATTTTTTCTAGAGGTCACATTTTGTGTTGAGGTCACATTTTGTGTTAAGGTCACGTTTTGACTTGTCACATTTTGTTTTGAGGTCACATTTTGACTTGTTGTCACATTTTCTTGTGGTAACATTTTGTCTTGAGGTCAAATTTTGACTTGAGCTCACTTTGTCTTGATGTCACATTTTGACTTGATGGCACATTTTGAATATAGGTCACATTTGTGTTAAGGTCACATTTTGTGTTAAGGTCACATTTTGTCTAGAGGTCACATTTTGTGTTGAGGTCACATTTTGACTTGAGGTCACATTTTAAATAGAGGTCACATTTTGTGTTAAGGTCACATTTTGTGTTGAGGTCACATTTTGTCTTGAGGTCACATTTTGTCTAGAGGTCACATTTTGTGTTGATGTCACATTTTGACTTGAGGTCACATTTTGAATAGAGGTCACATTTGTGTTAAGGTCACATTTTGTGTTAAGGTCACATTTTGTCTTAATGTCACATTTTGTCTTGAGGTCACATTTTTTTGAGGTCACACTTTGTGTTGAGGTCACATTTTGACTTGAGGTCACATTTTGAATAGAGGTCACATTTTGTGTTAAGGTCACATTTTATGTTAAGGTCACATTTTGTCTTAATGTCACATTTTGTTTTGAGGTCACATTTTGTGTTGAGGTTACATTTTGACTTGAGGTCACATTTTGTCTTAATGTCACATTTTGTCTTGAGGTCACATTTTGTCTTGAGGTCACATTTTGACTTGAGGTCACATTTTGTCTTAAAGTCACATTTTGTGTTGAGGTCACATTTTGTCTTGAGGTCACATTTTGTCTTGAGGTCACATTTTGTCTTGAGGTCACATTTTGACTTGAGGTCACATTTTGTCTTAAAGTCACATTTTGTCTTGAGGTCACATTTTGTCTTGAGGTCACATTTTGTGTTGAGGCTACATTTTGTCATGTGTATAAAATCATCGATAGAAAATAAAAATGAGTAGGTTAAACGCAGCTATTTATAATTAACGTAATGGTAGTTTCTGTTCACTATTGAAACCATTTTTGTTTTGTTTAGAGTTCTAGTAAGGGATTGGATTATGCTCGGAGTTTAGGCTAGTGGCATAACCAGGGTTAATGTTACCAAAGATGGCGTTAATGGAGAGCACAACGAGACTCTTCTTCTTCGTTCTTAATACTCTAACACAACTAAGCATCACGTGTCAATATGTTATGCGGCCAATGACCCTTTTATTCCGATTTCAATTTTTTTTTCTATCAGGATATGCTTTTGTAGCCTAATCCCACCCAAGTACAAAATATAAGGCAGCAGTTGTTTGATTTTAGAGTTGCTGTCACCAGCTAACATAGCCCATCTGCAAAAGGTTCGAACTCGGCACTTCTGGAATTAGGAATCACACTCTGGATTAAATTTTGAGTTTTTTCTGACGACATACTAAATGATATGAGAACCGCTTACCTCTATGCCTATGAACATGCTAATGTGACGTTAGAGTGAATTAGTGGGACATACCATTGTGGATTGCAAGAGGTCATGGAGTCATAGTTACCTGAACACTGTCAACTCGAGAAGTGTATGCCCTAGGTGATGCCGTGTCAGCTACGCCAACTAATATGTTGCTCTAAACCAGGGGTCTCCAAACTACGGCCCGCGGGCCGTATGCGGCCCGCGAAGTCGTCTCATCCGGCCCGCGGAGATCTTTTGTCCAAGGATAAATCGTTTATCTGTGATTGCTGAGGAACTTTGCCCAGAAAAATCAACGACATGCCTGGAAGAAACTGGCCCCCGAACTGAAATTTTATAGTTAATGCGGCCCTCGGACTGAAAAGTTTGGAGACCCCTGCTCTAAACAATTAACACATTGGGTAAAAAAAAAAAAAAAAAAAAAAAAATAACTTTAATTTTACCCTTTCTGACCTGGTGTTTCATGGCACAGATGATGACGTTAATATTTTTTCTGTTCTTCGGCGTGGGGTCAGCACTGTGTACAGTCAACTTACCTCTCCTTAACATGAATTAAGTATCTCAACAGAGATGGATGGACCACTGACCTATTCGGGATCCGAACTCGAGACTTTTATGTTGGCAGTCGTGTGCTCTGCCATGCCATGTCCACACGTTATGAATGTAGTCCTAGACTTTCATCTTTCCTTTTCACTTCTTTTACTACCACACCTTAGAGAACAGCCAATCTACCTCTTTTCAAGCGTTTCTTACCTATGCTATTTTTCCCATTTCTTTTAGTACGATGTTTTTCGGGCTTCTTTTATTTTGTTCTTTGTATATTCTATACAATGTCTTGTCTTGTAATACTCCATGTCATTTTCCTCAACATACGCACAAACATATTCGAATTTATTTTCAAATATCCTATGCCAAAGCGATTTTTCTTGTCGTTTTCCATATTGTTATGTGAGGTAATTTATCAAATAACTTTACAATTCATATTCGCCAGCTAGAAATAAAAGTAGGTAGCCTAATAGAGTCCCGTTTTTTTGATCCGCTCTTTTCTGCGCCGTACAACTAAAGACTAGTAAATGACAATTTAAATATTATGTACGTTTTCAGCATCAGGGAACTTTATGTAGGACTTACTAATTACACCTCACTTTATTTTTGCTCACGTCATCACTATTTAGATAGAACAATAGTTTACCAAATGACAGGGGCATCTACTGGAGAAAGGTTGAAATAGCTTAATGAGACGCCAAAAAGTGACCAAAAATGCATTATCTAAATTAATCTGAATATACAGTTTGAACTCCCGGGCAGATGAGGCTCGATATCTGGTGACAGCATCCCATCTAAGAGAGACAACTCCAAAATCAAACAACTGCTGTCTTGTAGTTTGTTCTTGAGTGGACAAAGACTATGGAAGCAAATTCAGAAAGAAAAGCAGTCTGAAATCGGAAATATGGCTGAAATATGGTGCATAACAGGTTGACTTGCAATATGAAACAATACAGTTTGCAATGCATGGGCTATCCTATCACTGTCCCGACCTCTGTAGATATTTCCTTTCATAGTTTCAAAACGTTTGGTCCATGTTTGGTTATTTTGAAGTTTAGACAAAGTGATATCTATACACTAATAACTATACAATTTTTTGTAAATTGTATATTTTTATTGGATAAGCAATGATAGAGAGGCGACTAAAATGTATTTTGGCAGCGGCAGTGATCACACGTTGATATTAATTTTATTATTTGAAGTAAATTGACTTGTCGGAAATACAAGAACTCAAATGCCAAATTTCTTTTTTTTTTCTAAAAGTTTTATTTTACATTTAAAAATGTGATAGAAAAACATCTAGAATTATGAGTATTTGAAATGTAGAATAGTGATGTGATAGATACAAGTCTTTCTGTTTTTGTCATTCTTCTGTCCACATCTGTTGTTTTATGTTTAGTTTGTTCATGAAGACGTAAGGTATCCATGGTTTTTTAGTGCTGTTAATATCTATATTCAAGTCTTTCGTGTCCCGTTTCTTCATGCTATTTTCTCAATTCGCTTTTTCTAGTCAACGCCTGTCGTTCTTGCTCCGTCTTCTCCGAATGTTATATACCTATTTTTCCCTCTTTATAGAACTGTCAATGCATTTGTCTATGCTTTTAGCGCTGGCAATCAATTAGTGCATGTTTCTCGTGCTGTCAATGTATTTCTCCATCTTTATAGTACCGTCAATGTATTTGTCTATCTTTCTAGTACCGTCAATGTATTTGTCCATCTTTCTAATACCGTCAATGTATTTGTCCATCTTTCTAATACCGTCAATGTATTTGTCAATCTTTCTAGTACTGTCAATGTATTTGTCCATCTTTCTAATACCGTCAATGTATTTGTCCATCTTTCTAATACCGTCAATGTATTTGTCAATCTTTCTAGTACTGTCAATGTATTTGTCCATCTTTCTAATACGTCAATGTATTTGTCCATTTTTCTAGTACCGTCAATGTATTTGTCCATGTCTATCTTTCTTGCTCCGCTTCCTCCGTGTACTGTCAATCCATTTGTCCATGTCTGCAATGGTCTGCGGCAACTCGTGTCCGTGTGTCTCGGGTAAGAAACCAATCAAGACCGGAACCAGAAGACAGAGACAGGTGAAGACAGCACCAGGGCCCCAGGCCACGTGACGTGCCTGAGACAGGTAAGAAAACAACACACCTGTGTTATAAACTGTATGGTTGTAGATTAGCATTTGTTATTTATGTCTTTTAATGAAGAAGAAAAAACAAAAAAAAACCAATGTTAATTAATGTAAACTTACAATCAGCCTATGCTTTTGAAAATAAATGTGTTTTTCGTTGCGGTTCAGCACAGGATTGATCACAAATGTTTTATGATATACACGGGTGTTCTAATATACTCACATAACTTAGGGTACTCACACATGTCCTACGGTACTAATTAATGTTTTAGGGTACTTACATATACTCTAGGGTACTCAAAACATTTGTAGGTTACTCACAAATGTAATACGCAACAGAAATATTCTACAATACTCACACAATATTTTAGGGTACTCACGAATATTCTATGGTACTCAAGAATGTTCTAAGTTCCATAAATATACTTTGGTACTCACGATTGTTGTAGGATACTCACGAATGTTCTAATTTACACACGATTTCAATGATACTCACGAATCTTCCAGGCTACATAAATAATATAGGATACTCTCAAATGTTCTGTTTCTCAAATATTTTGATACTTACGAATGTTCTAGAATAGGGCGCCACCATTCCGCCTACTCGAGCAGCCATAGAAGAAATTCCAAATCCAGAATTCCTAAAACATTAAATGTAGTCAGAGTTACATTTCAAATATCAGACTGAAAACATTTTCTTTGTTAAAACTTAAGTCGTTCGCTGACACTGTCAAGGCGTTATTAATTTCTTCATCCAGTATAATAAATATTGAGTCCGGTGGAATTAAAAAAAAAACAACTAATTAAGCACTTAAATATCAACATTTTATTTTAAGTAACTGCTGAAAAATAAGCCAGTTTGCATTTTCTCTTACTCTTTTGTTTCTACTTTTACACAGTTAAAAAACAAAAACATGATTAACTTGTAATATGTGTGTGGTGACCTTAACCTGACGACCTTCACCGGGCGACATTTACCTGGTGAAATTCACCTAGTGACCTTCACCCGATGACCTTCACCTGGCAACCTACCTGAGGTTAGTCGGGTACAGCTCAGGTGAGTACAGAAACAAGGTACCAAACCCCACGGAGATGCCGAACTTGCCCAACAGGGAGACGCCCATGATGATCCACTTCCTGCCTGGGATGGCCTCTGACGGCCGACATTAAAGTAAACATTTCAAAATTAATTAAAATTTAACTAAAATAAACACACGACAAAAATCCAAAGAGGTTTGGTAATGCTTATTAATAGATTGATGACGACAAAACAATGTTAACTAACATCTAATGCAAAATATACGTTTTATATTCAGTGTTTATTTTTCAAGACATTTTGCCTGGTGTGTGTGTTAGGGGGTGGGGGAGGGAGGCGGGACAATCTAAACTTTCGATGTTTTAAATTTTTTCCATTTCTTTCGTGAAGTGGGGGGGGGGGGGGGGAGGGGAGGCAGTTCCTCCCCCACCGCCTCACTCCCCAACCCCTTAAGAGATGTGGAAAGAAACTCTGCGTATATACACTTATATGTACACTTCCATATGTATTGTTGGTTGCTGTACACATTAGGCTTTATTAACGGATTTCTTGTACAGTATCGGTTCCAGTTACACAGATACACATATGACCAGGGATCAAAATGTACAGGTGCCAAACACAAACCTACCTGCAAAAGGTGCGTTGGACAGAACCTCTGACGTCAGCAATGAAAACCCCGCAATGACGTGGAAGATGAAAATACATTTTTTTCGTCCGATTCTAGAAAAAATAATTAACATAAATTAACATTAACTTAGTCAACGTTTTCACGTGAGAAAAATTCAATAAATACAAATTTTGTATATAATTAGAATTATAAAGTACAATAGATTTTGTTGTTTTCGATTCGCACAACTCAATCAACTATTACATTGTTACTATTTGATGTTTATTAAAAACTCTGTTATGTTTACACCTGATCACATCAAATACACGACTCACCTGTTGATGAGCACACCAAATGCAAAAGCCGCAGGTAGCTCCACTAGAACGTTGACGAAAAATCCCAGGTAAAAATCGTCGGTGAGTGATGTTGACGTCATCAGCAGACCGTAGTAAGTCAAACTGTCGGCGAACCTGAGATGGTCAAATTTAAATTATAAAATGAACTTTTGTTTAAAAAATCAACACGTTCTTTGAGAAGCGTATACTCTCAGTTCCACTTGAATCTATGGACTATCTACATTGGAAGATTTTTAGCCTTGTCTAAAGCGCTATGTAGAAACAATGCATTTATATCAACGAATCTAATACTTAAATTCAAACACATGTGTATTCTTGATGTACAAGAATACTAACCACATGTAACAGGAAATGGCTGTTATAACGAATATATTCTTATTTCTGACGAAGGCCGAGAACCGGAGCTCTTCTGATGCTGGTGCTGATGGAACTGGCACTTCAGAGCTGGAAACATCAGGCATGTTCCGGTCACTATCATGTACCTGCGTCTGTCGGACACTGTCTTGTACCTGTTGGTAATGTTCCACACTTAATTAATTGCATATTTTCTCTTAATAAAGTCGGACATATAAATAAACACTTTTAAATATTCTTAAAAACACATAGGTATTTTTTTTTGGTATTTAGTCGCTTAATGGCCAGGAAAATTGGAAAAAGGGTAAGAATCGAGCATTTCTCTCTCTCATATTATCAGCCGCCAGACATTGATTTCCGCTATGCCTTTTTTTCCTGCCCCAGTGCCCCGCACTACCTAATTTGGAGATGCGGGCACTTCGGTCCGGGACGACCTAAGGTCTTAAACCAGAACTCCGGTTAGCAAGCGAGTCGTCTTCCCCTAGACCACACCATCCCCACAACAGTTATCTAAAAACTTATTTTAAAATTTAAAATATGGTCGCCTGAAGTTTTCTATCTTAAGATATAGCGGCTTGATTACATCAACTGGCTACTTATACAGACAAATCAAATACAACACTACAGCAAAACATAAAAACTATCGACAAAACAGACAGAAAATCAACACTATGAGAACACCTACAAACTATCGAACTAACTGAATCACCTTCAGCTCAGTCGGCAGAGTGGACATGCGCAGATCACCACTTCTCATCAACTCAAGTGCTTTGTTGAAATCCACTTTGTTTGATTTTGTCGCCTTGTATAAAATTTTCTCGGCCGTGGCCAATTTGTTGTTGGCCAAAAGCCATCGAATGGACTCGTCTGTGATCCTGGAAGAGAAGGTAAGGGGATGTAATCACGGCTTGAAACAGGGGAAACAGGGGATGTAATCACTGCTGCAAACAGGGGAAACAGGGGATGTAATCACGGCAGGAAACAGACGATGTAATCACGGCAGGAAACAGGGGATGTAATCACTACTAGAGACGGGATGTAATCACGGCAGGAAACAGGGGATGTAATCACGGCTGGAAACATGGGGATGTAATTACGGCTGGAAACAGGGGATGTAATCACGACAATATACCACTAAAACAGGACAAACATGGACAACCCGACATTATAAACTTACCATGGACAACCCGACATTATAAACTTACCACCACTGAAACAGGACGTAAACGGACAACCCGACATTATAAACTTACCACCACTGAAACAGGACGTAAATAGACAACCCTGCAAGCAGGAGCTCCGTGTACTGCCAACTGACGTCTTTGGTGACGTAAGCACACAGGCAGAGCACCAGCAGGGAGCCAGGCCAGACGTAGCTGCCCACCTGTGAGGGCAGAGCCCGCTGCTGTGTGGGCAGCATCTCGAGGAGGAGGACGTTGGAGATGAGGCCGGTGCCCTGGGGAGGAGACGAGGCAGGAGGAAGTACAATAGAATGTTAGGTCATGCATGGAATGATGCTCTGGGTCGAAAGGTAGAGCTTATGGCTGACAATAAACAAAAGTCATGAGTTCGGATCACAGGCTTAAGTCTGTAGGCTGCAATAGGTACCTCAATCATATTAGGGAAACAAAGGCGGCTTGGCATAGTGCTGACCACACTATATTCTTGTATGCCAAGGTCATAGATGAACTCTACTTCATCTGCGGTCTTGTGTCTTACGCACTAACTGGAAAAGATGATGATTATACAATGTAAAGTTATACGAGCTCTAGCACGTTAAACAGCACATTGGTCCCGCAGCTATGCGGCTTTACGACCCCATAATGTACTATACATAATAATATAATAGAATATTTTATTCTGGAGTTATGAATGACACGAAGTACGACTTTTATTCCAGGCAGAAAGTCTACCGCCCCCCCCCCCGAAAGAGATGGAATTTATACAGTAAACATATACTTTTACTAGTGTTCCCCCCCCCCCCCCCCCAGAAAATGTAGACCGCCCCCTCCCCCCAAAATATCAAGTGCCCCCCCCCCCCCCCCTCCAGGAGAAAAAAGTCTGGAAGAAACACTGAATCCAAAAAGTCTCAAGTTTAAACATCCCCTGCTAACTTTTTTTTTACTTTGCTCGTTTGATGAATATTTTTGTCTTAATTAATCAATACTCGTACATAAAAGCTAATTAGATCTAAATTAGGAAATATTGATGTCACAAAGGTCAAGGTCACCTGCTGAAAGGCACCAATCAGGAACCGTAGAACGGCGAAGACGATAAAACTGGGCGAGAAGGCGATCCCCACGGCCACAGCAAACAGCAGGAGGTGGGTTATCATGTAGGTGGGTTTTCTCCCGTACCTAGGGTGGGAAACAGTGGGATTTTTGTTTTAGAAAAAAAAATGGGAATGGGAACATTTATTTACAAAAATGGGATGCACCATTTTAGAAAAACTAGGAACATTTTGTTAAACAAACTCACACGTCAGCCAGAGCGGTGAAGATGAGAGCGCCAGCCATCTGACCCAGAGACAGCAACGTCTGTGATACATCAGAGAGTGACTCGCCCTCACATACGAGATCCCACTGTGGAACAATGGACACGGTTGTGTGAAATGTATCTAGGTAAAACAAACTTCCCTTCCGTGTCTGGCTGCCTACGAGACAGACGTAGAGCTGGCCAGTTTCTGTGACATCGGCCAGGTGGACTTAGGGTCGTGCTAGACATGGACCCGAACTCGAGACTTTCGGGTTAGCATACGAACGCTCTACCATCTGACCACGCCGTTCAATTGCTAATATAGGGTAAACGATTGTTTAACTAAAAGAACATAGATACTTCCAGTATTTAATGATTGATATTTTTAAATACAGGCGATCTTTCCTTTTGAAAACTACACCCATAAGTCAGTGAACTCATATCGTTGTTGACAAATAAAAAGAAAGTTTAGCCTCTCTGAGCAATAACAACATATGTTCTCAAGAAATAATAAACCGGGAGTGATCTACCCTAAACTTTCTCGAATATTCTTATATAACTTGAAATATAGACATGATTTTTAATTACTTAATCTTTTAAAAATAGAATAGAATCTCATAGAAAAAAGAATTGCGCACCAAGCGAACGCCAAAACAAAATGTGCATAATAGTGCGCAATATTATTAGTACTTTATAAATTTACATGCATTTTTTGAGAAATCGAAAATAGCGTAAATTAGTATTTCCGGTCAACGGAAATTACTCAAAATTTGACAGAAGGTAGAGAATTAGATCGGTTATTTACATGTGAAATTTCATTTATCTATCCGAAATAGTACTCAAGTTATAGGCTTTTGAAAAATTCAAAGTAGAAAAAGTACAACTTCCGGTTATCGGAAATCGCTCAAAAGTTGATCATGATCTACGATTTTGATAAAATACTTATATATGAAATTTCATCAACCTAGCTGTAACGGTACTCAAGTTATCGTGTTTACACACAGACAGACAGACACACAGAACACACAGACATACGGACAAGATTGCAAAATTATGTTTTTCCGTATCAGTGAGGTGTAAAACGTCGAGATTTGTAAACATCTTGATTTTTTTTAGCACGATTACAAGACTACTGTCACTAACCTCCGATACAAACGATCTGTCCCTGGGCTCCGCGTACTGGTATCCATTGAGGCACGTGCTGGAATAAACCACGTGAGACCCGTTGGTGACGTCAACGCTACACGCCCCGTATGTGACGTTCAGGCTGAGATTTCTGGAGTTTAGAATGACGTCATAGTCAGTCGTCTGGCCTCCATCTTCCAACGTTATGTTGAGGGAGGTCAAAGGTGAGCACGTGTGCTGGACTGCACGACCTGTGTGGAAAAATGTAACATGTGTGTCAGTTATACTAAAAACAAGAACACAGTGGTGGTATACTAACTAACCGATTGAAGAAAGCCTGTAATACATAACATAAGCAGTGTTTATTCCAGACTTTTTTCTCCGGGGTGGGGGGGGGGGGTTGGGGGGGGGCGCAATTTCCGGGGGAGCGGTGTGAACACTGTTAAAAGTATATATTTTCTATATTAATTCTATTTTGGAGGAGGGGTAGACTTTCTTATGTAGGCGGAGCCCCCCCCCCCATCTCCCTCCCAAACAGATGACTGGAAAACAAAACTGAACATGAGTAGAGCGTGACTAGGGGGAGGGAGGGTGGGGCGACCGCCTTCGGGTACTGACGCTAAAGAGGGCGCCAAACAAGGTTGAAATACAAATTAATAAGGTAAAGTTTGAGCTGCATTACTAAATTATAAAAAAAAAAGTTTAAAAAAAAACGACTGCTGCTTGGCTTTAAGGAATTATTTAACTGTTTTCTTTATCATTTTGGTGACGCCGAAATAAAAATCACTAAGGGGCAAGAACTAGTAGGAAGAACCGCCGATTTATCCAATTTAAAAATTTTTTTTTTTGGGGAGGAAGCTTTTTCTTCAACGTGAGAAGTTATATATAGAGGGGGGGGGCATTATTGACAGTTTCCCCCGGCTGCCAGAATGGATTGCAAGGCTTTTTCTACAACGAAAATTACATAAATAAGGAGGGGATGTAAAAATTTTTTTTTAGCCCGGGCACCGGAATGTGTTGCTATGTGCATAGGCGATAGGCGTAGCTACCCTTCCCGGCGCCCGGGGACAAACTTTCGATTTGCACCCTCCCCCCCTCAAACTTTTCATTTGCACCCCCCCTCAAACTTTTCATTTGCACCCCCCCTCAAACTTTCAATTTAGCGCCCCCCCTAAGGTCGGCGCCCGGGGATATATGTCCCCCCCCCCTCGCTACGCCTCTGGCTATGTGTCTGGATTGAAGTTTGATAGATGCCTCTCTATAATACCTGCTATAATAATACAACAACAAAGATCTGACCTATAAACACTACGACAACAAAGATCTGACCTATAAACACTACGGACATCACGTGAACTGCGCACGCCAGCACCGGAAGCATCGTCATCAGAAACTGTATCCTCTGGTACCGCCCCCACCATCCGATGGATAGAAACACCTCATCCATAACAACACCCTGATCCATCATCGAGGTGAATTCACTCAGAGTACAACACCCGTTAAATATACAACAAAAACGAGGGCTTGACCTAAATCGTTGACTGGACAAGTGATCTACTACTGTCTATTCCCCTAGGAGCTACACGTTATAGAAACATACAAAACACTGTAAAGTTTCCTGAATTAGGACAGGTTTAAAGAAAGCAAAAAGTTCTCAACACCAATACGTATTAAGGCAGCACAAATCGCTGAAACAAAGCTCCTTAAGAATTAAATACGTTAAATAAACACTGAAATTTAAGAAGTGTGTCCCCATGAAGAGATTTACAAAAGAAACACAATAAGCATATCACACGATAAACTGGTATAAAATTAAAAACTTGAAAAAAAAAATTCCCGAAGAAAGTACTGACTTAAAAATCACTTAATAAAGCCAAAAAATAAATCCCAAGAAATTTATTCTTGATAAAGATACCGACTAAACCTAATTCCTTTGAATCAGCACGCGTTAAGTCAAAGTTTCAACATGCCAGAATATTTTTTCATCAAGACAGGTCAAACGAAGACATCAGAACTAACGCGACTGTCCACTAGACATTGAGGTCACCGGCAGGCCAGAACACAATAGAGGCAATTTTCACACCAATTCGTAACGGGTTAGATCAGCTTGGTTTTATGTTTGTCAACAACGAAACGCTCATTAGTCTAACAGTGCTAGCTAGCCCTGTCCGATTATACTGTCCACGCTTATCCAGTAAACACATACAATTAACTGACCTGTAACGATCTGTTTTAGAGAGACCGAAATTTTAATTGTACCATACTGATGACTTAAATTCAAAATTTATATAACATTCATTTTATGTAACTTACATTCTGACATATGTTGCCTAAATTATGACTTAAGCATTTAAATTCTTACAGTGTTTTAAATTCTGACATTATATGACTTAAATTCTTACTTCGTATGGCTTAAACTACGACTTCATTACTTAACTCAATATGAATTAAGTTATTACATTCTAACCAGGGTTTCTTTCAGGCATTTTTCCATGTGAGGTTGTACTTGAAGCTTTCTGGGGGTAGGGGGCGCTTAAATTTGCCTTCGCCCATCCATTGGGGAAAGATGTTTGATGCTATGCATTTAACATCTGACAGACAATAGTCCAGATACAATTTGGTATCTTATTCTCTAAAGTGTGCCCAGAACCATACCTAGCCACCAACACTATAGTCGATTCAGCTCCAATGCATACCTGGCTTATCTTTAGAACGCCCCTGAGTCTAATCAGCTCAATTAGTACCTGGCGTGTCTGTATAACGTTCCTGAGCCCACTCAACTCCAAAGCATACCTGACTTATCCTTAGAACGCCCCTGAGTCTACTCAGCTCAATTAAGTACCTGGCGTGTCTGTTAACATAGTATTTAATAAAAGTACTTATAATTTAAATAAATTATAAATATCGCAAAAAATATTTAATATTTTGAAAAATCGTTACGTTTTAACTATATTTAGAAGAGTTTTTATTGAAAAAAACGTAAATCAAATCTGTTGAGTAAAACTTATTTCAGGATACATGCAAAAAAACGTTTGAGAAACACTGATTATCTCTCTTCACCCCTCACAAAACAAAATGTTATCGCTGATCAAATCGCTGAATCGATGCACGCATGTTTTGTAAAATTCATTACCTGCTAATACTTGGTTAGTGATTATGGTGTCACATAAGGTTGATGTACGGGTGAGGTGTCACATAGGGTTGATGTACGGAATATGGTGTCACATAGGGTTGATGTATGGGATATGGTGTCACATAGGGTTGATGTACGGGTGTCACATAGGGTTGATGTACGGGATATGGTGTCACATAGGGTTGATGTACGGGTGTCACATAGGGTTGATGTACGGAATATGGTGTCACATAGGGTTGATGTACGGGATATGGTGTCACATAGGGTTGATGTACGGGTGTCACATAGGGTTGATGTATGGGATATGGTGTCACATAGGGTTGATGTACGGGTGTCACATAGGGTTGATGTACGGGATATGGTGTCACATAGGGTTGATGTATGGGATATGGTGTCACATAGGGTTGATGTACGGGTGTCACATAGGGTTGATGTACGGGTGTCACATAGGGTTGACGTACGGGTGTCACATAGGGTTGATGTACGGAATATGGTGTCACATGGGGTTGATGTACGGGTGTCACATAGGGTTGATGTACGGAATATGGTGTCACATAGGGTTGATGTACGGGTGTCACATAGGGTTGATGTATGGGATATGGTGTCACATAGGATTGATGTACGGAATATGGTGTCACATAGGGTTGATGTACGGGTGTCACATAGGGTTGATGTACGGGTGTCACATAGGGTTGATGTACGGGTGTCACATAGGGTTGATGTACGGAATATGGTGTCACATGGGGTTGATGTACGGGTGTCACATAGGGTTGATGTACGGAATATGGTGTCACATAGGGTTGATGTATGGAATTTGTTGTCACATGGGGTTGCTGTGGGAAATATGGTGTCACATAGAATAAAAAATGTTGATTCAATTTATTTTATTAGCTATTTTGGTGACTGCATTTAACACGGTTGTGTGGTTACTGTCATGTCCAGATACGAGTCAATAATTCAGATACCCATTACATGTTGTTGAGCTCAGAGTAGGGGCGTGGCTAGCTTTATGTGGCTATGTGGACAGGGTGCTTGCGTGTATATATAATACGATTATTTTTAAAAACTTGAATGTTAAAAGATAATATTAATAGTACATGATTTGCTTAATTAAATCCTCTCTAAAACAGGTATGTAAAAAAATAAGTCAAGGCTATGCTGTGAATGGTGTAGTTGGGTGGTATAATACTTGACTGCTTATTATCGATTTCTACTTCAGATCAGGATCCAAATGAAAGTTTATGAGGCTATTTATGTATGATGGGAACCCAACAAGATGTATAGAAATGACATGACTATCCCGCCATAGTGGACTAGCGGTATAGAGTTAGACTGCTAACCCGAAAGTCTCGAGTGCGAATCCTGGTTCAAAACAGTAGAACATCCTTGAGTCCACCCAGCTCTGCTGGGTACTTAACTCACGTTGGGGAAATAAATACGGCTGAACAGAGTGCTGACCACTTTATCCCCTTGTGTGCCGAAGTAATTAAATCATATGAACTGTACTTCATCTGTCCGGTATGTCTTTTTATTAAAACGTGGAAAAGTTAATGAACCCCTTATGCCATGGTCACAAAAACTTGAATGAAGAGCTTGAATGTCTGATTTGAATTCTAAAAGGATACAATCCACTGTTATTATTCTAAGATGACGTGATACAAGCATGTGCCTCCCTCTTTGTCCCACACTGGCTACGCCTCTGATACAGAAATATCCCATGAGCTCATACAAACACGCAGTAATATTTATAAACACTATAAACAAAAAAGAAATTATGTTTCGATGGTTTTTCTGTGATTGACATATATATCCAATTAACATATATATTACATTAATTAGAGCTAATTTCTACCAGGTGATAACGTTAGAGTCGAGTTGGAGATTTAGGCTGGTTTTGAAAGGTTAATTGGTGTGAATGTTAAGACAATCGATGATCGAACATTAAATACTGAGTAAATTTACTAGAAACGTATGAGTTTATTCCAGCTACCCGACCCCACCCCAAGCAGAATAACAACTGCCTGATGTAACTTTACATGAAATCCTGTGAAACACTGACAACATAATGCTGACATTTTGTACAGAAGTTGATCAGGGGAACAAACAAATTATTAAATATTTTTTAATATATAATTCAGGAGGCGGAACAGTTTAGAAAAGGGTACCATTTAGGCGTTGGCTACTTTAATAATGTTAGTGTTTGTGTTGCTATAAAACTCGCCCATCGCTGTATAGTAATAACACAGATTGGCGCTAATAGGGAAGTTTAGTGGATGAAATAAGCCCTCGAAAATGTTTTTAAAGTTTATATGTCTGTGTTTATTTCTGATTGTAAAGACAAGCAGAGGTATGTACTAGTTTTTTTTTTACCGTAGGGCTAACCATACAGTTTTTACTATATCTCTAAACTGTGTAAAACTTAAAGATGTAAACATATGAAAATAAAATACAGAACGCTTAAGGATGTGGATAAATCTGATAAGGAGGGTCATTCGAGTGCTAAGTGCCCCAACAATGACGGACAGAGCCCCAACATCCAGGACGCTACGAGCCCTAAAATATACGAACCTGGTCTCGAGTGCAATAGATCTTTTTTATGTTACTGCGATCAGAACTTTGGTGCTACAAACCTAGGTGATGTGGTGCTTCTAAGTCGACATTAGCCGTTTCCCGATTTAGCCAGTCATTTTCCCCTATGGGAGTGATTGCGGTCTTTATCGTATAGATACTCCGATTAATTTATGTATTACAAACATAAGATCAGGGAGGTCGCAGTTTTGTATAAGAATGAGGAGCTTAAATCGCAATTCTTGTACATTTAAATCCCGTGTTACTTTTCTTTCTCAAATACAATTTTATTTGGCCAAATAATAATTTCTTTAGTGTATATAAATTCTAACCATCGACCCAAGCAACTTGTGTGAGATCACCCTCTAAACTGAGATACATAAAGAATTAATTGCAAACATCATTGTTACATACCCTAGTGATTTTCTTTAGTTTACCGATAAAAGAGATTTGAGTTGACTAGGTTTTGGTCAAAGGGGAGCAACTGTTAAAATAATAAATTAAACATATATATTTGGTTACCCCTCTTTGACCGCAAATTATTAATTTTTTGTTTCATTTTTGTATTTTTTTTTAAATTCTTTTTAGCTTTTAGAATTTCTAAGTGTGACCATGGTCGGTAGATGTTAGATATTTAATAGATCTTTAAATTAACTATTTTAATTAAGAGAAATATTTTAAAACTTTTTCATCATTCGGTTATAATAGCATAGTCAAATTACCTGCATGTAAATGTAAATGTCTCAGCTAGCTTTGTCTTAGTAAAAGAGAAAAACAAGGAGCCACTGTTACATTATGTCTTGTTAGTGATTGTTACGTCATTTGTATTATATTGTGTTACGCCCCATGAGTGTTCACAGTGTTTAATTTTC